TTTAAATATGAATTATTAATTAAAACCTCATTTCTGGATAATTAACTCGATTCCTTATTTATGAAAGAAATTTAAAAACCTTCTTAACTGTAATTTCCTCTTGTTTATTCTTGGGACTGCATCCAAACCACATATTTCACTCCTCTCATTCCTCCGCCACTTGCGACTCCGCCCGGCTCCTCAGCCCTCACTCTCTTCTCTCACTGCCTTCCACCATCGACCACCGGCGTCGCTCACTCTTGTCTCTCTCCTCCCAGGACCCAAATCAAAATATTTCTGTAAGGACTTGTTTTCTTTTCTTTTTCTTTGTTATTTTGAATTTTGAATTTTTGTTGATCGCGTATCTTTTCTTATTTCTTGTTTATATGGTTCGGTAACAGATTGTTAATTGAAATATTTAGATTAAATGATAAAAACTTTGGTTTTGATTTTTGATTCGAGTTAAGTTTCCCTGTTTATGTACATTTTTCACCCGTGAAGAGAATTGTGTGAGAATGTGGAAGTGGAGCGTTGAATAGACAAGCGTAAATTTCTTTGTTGATGAAATGGGATTTGCGGCATTAAGGTTTTGTTACCAGCTTGAACATGGGCTCCTCCATCTCTGATATCTCATAACTGATTGGTTGAGATGAGAAAAATGATAATTTTTAGTTTTCTTCAATTCAATTTAACACCGGTAAATGATTTTTGCTTCGGGGGTCTGAATTTTGAAGAATTTATCACTTCACATTGTTTGCAGTTTTCTATTTCTGAGTGTTGGTTGGTCTTCTTGAATTGGGTTAAATGCTAAAAGTGAAAGGTCTTGAAATATTGTACAAGTGTGTACTTAAATTTTAGATGATGTTTGACATGTCTAACTCCTGGTTTCTTGGGGCCAAATTACTCGATTTTTACTGCTTGAACTACCTCAAATTATTGCTTCTATGCACCGATCATTGCTAAGTACTTGGGTGGTGCAGTAAATTGTGATGCTTATCATATGACTGATCCTAGAGCTAATGGACTTGGTGTCTCATCATGTATCCAGAGTACCCTTGAAGATGCTAGTTTGTCGATTGAGGAGGTAATTCTTTTTTCATAACATTTTATCACACGTGAGGGCGTGATATTGCATTCCGTAGTACTGACCATGCAACGTAAACCATGTATGCTGACACCCTTTACCAATGCCACTCATTTGCTTATCTTGATTTGTTGTCTTTTTTCCGGGCATGCCCTCCCTGCACTCGCTCTCTTTTTCACAATATACTTTTGCTTAATCACTCACCACATCCACATTTGATTAAATTGTGCTTGCACTGAATAATATTCCTAGCTCCTCCCCTGTTCTTGGTGAACCTTAGCTACCTCAACTTTAATTTTTTGAATTTTTTTTTCTCAAAAACTGCAGATCCTACTTGGCTTAGAATGATCTGGCGCCAATGGATAGTCTAGTTCAAAAGTTAGGAAAAACAGTTAAACAAGTGGCAAGAAATAGAGGCTCAAAATGGTGGTACACTCCGCACATGGCTGCTGCATCCCGAGCTATCGCTGACCGTATCCCGTTGGTCAATTTCATTATTGAAGTCCGTGATGCCAGGGTAAACCTGTGATTTCTATGGACACATATGTAATGTCTTTATTGCAAACCATCCGGTTGTTAAAATGTCTGACTGAAACAGGCTTGTTTATTGATAGTTTATGATATGGGGTTCGGGTATTTGTCTGGTGAATAGAGCTTCCAGTAATTTACTCTGTAAAGATTAGTCATAGTTGAAATCAACATGAATTAAACAATGAGAGGGACTGAGGGAGCTGTATTCGGTTCTTAATTCTTACGTGCTTCAATTGTTATTTTGTAATTTGGGATGGACGAGTAATATGCTGATGTGATATTTCTTATTTTTGTTTTCTTTGTTAGATTCCACTATCATCAGAATGTGAGCAACTGAGAAATTTTCCACCTTCATTGAGGCGCATCATAGTGCTAAACAAGACTGACCTTGCAAACCGCTCACAAACGAAGGTGATCGTTTGTTAATCACTTTTTAGTTCTTTGTAATACTATTCACAGGAGTTGTTGGGATATACAACTGAATGTCCGGTTCCCACCTTTGATGAATGAATCGCACATAAATTATTTGATACCGTATGGCAATAGGGAACAACATAAGAATAGTGATACATATTTTGTGGAAAATGCAATTTATTTTCTTCAAACTCAAACTGAGCTTTCTTCTTTGTGAAAATATGTATCATTAATGAATTAATAAAAGGGAGTAATAATTCTATTTACAGGAACTGTTAAGATTTACAACCCATGTCCCGTTTGCCTCTGACAATTGTGAATTGCACATCAATCATTTGATAAGTGATAACATAATGCTACTTTCTTAGCAGGGGTGGTGGCAAGAAAGTGCTACATATTTAGTGGAATGCAAATTATTTTCTTCAAACTCAATATGAGTTTTGTTCTATTGATAAACCAGTATCATTAATGAATTAGCAAAAGAGAAGGCATTTTTAATACAAGCTGTCTACGAACCAGCAAACATGTTCCAGGCTTATCACTATACATCAGTCTCAATCCCCATGACCATGTTTTCTTCAGCCTTTTCCTGAATATATATTCATCTTTCAGTGTTGAAACATGGTAAAGGTGTTCAGAGAATCATCCCAACATCGTGAGCTACATGTACCGAAGCATAAAAATGATTTTATTGTTATCAGACCTTTGCACAAGATCTTGGAAACTTGAACTTTCTGGGTTGCATTACTCATAGAAATCTGTTTAAATTCAACTAACAAAATTTAATCCGTAGGCTGGAAAAATGTATATAATGCAAGGTTCTAAAAAACTAAAACTGCATTAGACTTGTGCAATTCTTTAAAATATAGGTTTAGTATGAATGTTGACCATCTAAAATTTTATCATTCTTACATAATGCATATCATTCTGCATATGGGGCTACATATTTTCCTTCTTTTCAGATTGTCTAAGTTTAGTCCACGTTATACTTTCGATATGCATGTTTTTGTGTGTGTGTATATATATATATATATAACCTTAGATTTCTTGTTGCTCAGGAGTGGATGAGGTTTTTCGAGGAAAAGAAATGTATAGTTTTTGGAGTCAATTCCCATAATAAAGAGAATATTAAAGAGGTAAGTCTGCAAACTTTTCAAGTGCATGTTGATTTGACTGAAGCTAGCTATCTTAGCTTTTATTGACTTCATGATTTGAAAATTGGAAATGCATGTAGAGGTGGCAAATGGGTCGAGCGGCTTGTTGGCTTGTAAAAACTCGGCCATTTGCCCTCGGGCTCATCCAAAGACGAGCCGGAGCCAAGTGGCACTGCTCACCAGGTGAGCCGAAGCTGCTCAGCTCGTGGGCACCAAATCAGTCACTTTTTTATTGATTGGTCACTTTTTTTTTTAGTTTTGTACAAAACTTTGAAATGGAACGGTCCTCTGATTTTTTTTATTTTTTATTTTTCCATCTATGATACCCCTTCATTCTACAATATTTTTCTCACAACAAAATCTACAATCTCTCTTCTACTCTCTACAATCTCCTCTCTTCTCACAACAAAATCTACACTACAATTCTTCTACTCTACTCTCCACACTTATATTACAAGATTATAGGCATTAATCCATATCATGATTCAAAATACATGTAGCTATTGATTTTACTTCGTCAAAAACCTTTAAAAAGGTTAGAGTGCGTTTGGTTTGTCGTTTTCGGATTCTAAAGTACTCAAAATGTGTTTGGTATGTTATTTTTTAATTGTATTTTTGAAAACAAGATAAAATTTATAATAGAAAACTCAAAACGAATTTTTGACGTTTCGAGTGTTTTCAACTGAAAACACTCAAATTAAATTAAAATTGAAATTGAAAGATAAAAACCCTTTGTCTTGTCTACTCAACCGTAAAAGTTAAAAACGGTTGCTGTCATCTCCAGCCTCTCCTCTCCAGTGATGTCCTCTACCCGGCCAGCGGGAAGCCATCGGAAACTGTTGCGTAGCGAATATCCAGACCGTATTCGCGCGCTTTGGTGAAAAATGTTTTCACTATTGTTCTGCGTTTTGGATTTGGAAATTCGAAAATGGATGGATTGGGTATTGACGAAGGTGATTGTGAACCCTTGTGATGCCAATTTCATGGCCAAATA